GTATACAAGACTTATTCACATCCACTCGCTAGTCTTTTCATATGCAGGACTTACTCGTATCTGCTCACTGATCTTTTTATATGCAGATTTCTTTTTCTAGATCAAATATTAACTAGTATGACTGTTGAAATCTGTATTACTTCACTTAACTCAAAATTTTTGCTATACAGGTCCCCTATTCATAGATCCTATCAAGATTTATTCATATAACATTACATTCTTTAAGTACTCTATTATACTTCCAATATCTGAATAATATTAGTGCAACATGATTTACAGGGTTACAACCCTAGAAATAAACAAAGTTTACTATAAGTTAGATACAAAGATCTAAATAATTATTTAATTCTGTTGATAATAAGATTTGAACTCTAAACCTCTTGTATAGCAGTTTGACAAATTAACTACTACACTAAGATCACTAGACCTTACTAAAAGTTAAATATAAAGATTCAGATAATTATTCAAATTTAGCAACAATATAATTTAAATTCTAGACCTTTTGTATAGTAGTCTAGTAGTCTAACTACTATACTAAGATTACTAAACTTTAAATAAAAGTTTTATTTTTATTTTTTTTGTATTAAAGGCAACTTATATTGCTAAAGAAATTTTATTAGTATTGTAAATAGAATTATACATTGATAATTCTTACTATTTGTAATTATATAAAGAGTATATAACAAGCTATATATACAACTTTAGTTATTATCTATTTTAAATAATTTACTATACAAATATTAGGTGACTTAATTAGTTCTATACTATATTGCTATATTTGTAATTTACTTGTGAGTTATCTATTTAAATACTTTGTTTATTAATCTATACAGATTCAATTTAATATTACTATAATTCTTAATTATTTAAGCTAGCTAGCTCATTATAGATCTATTTATTTAGAATAGCTTAGGTTTTTTCAAAATATATTATATCTAATATATTATAGATATTGTAAAGCTAGTTAATCTCAAAGCAAATCTATTAGAATAGTCTGTATTTATTTTATAAATTTATTTAAATTAGATCTTTGTAGATATTTGTATAATTCTAGATTCTATTATAATCTTCTACTAGTTAGTTGATCTAATCTTTTTCTAGTATTTAGCTAGTTCTAATTACTTTTTATCTAGAAACCTTAAAACCTTTTATCTTTATTAGACAGAGTTTTCTTTTAAATCAGACCTTAACTGATATAGTCCTGTTAAAAGACTATATTATTTTACTAACTCAAAATTTCTACTATACAAATCTTCTGCTTATATATTCTAACAAAATTTATTTATATAATATTATATTATACTTCTAAGTTCAGATTAATTTGATATAACTCAATTTACAGAAATATATTCTAGAAATAAACAGAATTTACTGTAATATATTATAAGTTTTAAGAAATTATTCAAATTCATTAATAGTAAGATCACAAATAGTAGATACAACTCTTTTTGATGATCTTTTTTCTCAAAAAACTGAAAAAGCAAAAAACAAAAATTTTGTTAAAGTATAATGAAGAAGACCCTTTTACAACAATAGTTTTTACAAAGGTCAACTAGAGTTCTATTTCTCTTTAGAGATTCCTTTGTATATTTAGCATGCATGCTAAAAATGATATTATATAAGATAACTAGCAGAAGGTAGAGCTCTTATATAAAAAATTTTAGTAAAGAACTTTTAGAACAAAGCTCTTTGTCAATGAAGTTAGTAAAAGAAGGTTTAAGAAACAAGGGAATAACCAAATATTTTGTCTACATACTTCTTAAAGTCTTAGAAAACAACTATATACTGCAAGCTTTTTCTTGCTAGTCTTTTATCTATATCAACAAAGTGGGGAATTTAGGTTCTCTTCTACAAAAGATCAATATTATTTATTATATCTATTTTTAGATATACTCTGTTAGATGCATAACTATAGGAATAAACAAAACAGAAAACAAATACATAGAAATATATATTTTATTTTGCTTATTTTGTTGAAACTAGTTTTATAGATATATAAGAAGATGTAAACAGCTATTAATATACTATTATAAGGTGATAAGAATGAATTATAATATTAAAGAGAGATAGATTATAAGTTTGCTAACTTAATATTTTTGAACCTAGTCTAGGTTAAAAGGTACTTTGTTTTTTTTCATTTCTTTTTTCTTTTATATAGCCTATTCTATTATGTTACTGCTTAACAAAGTTTTTAACTTGAAACAAAGTTTTCTTTGTTAGTTAGCTTTAGAGCTTTTAGATAATAACAAATTTTTTTTTTTTTTTGAATTGTTGAAACTATCTGAAGTATAGGATAGTTTGGATGACTAAATCTAATAGTTTGAATTTAAAAGACTAACTATAGCACACTATATATAGGTACTATTTAGGTAATCAGGTGAGTTTTAGCTGCATAGTCAGACACATAAGAATATAAATTCAAATATAAAAAGTTTGCCTTGCAAATTGTTTGAATAAAGTTAAGGTATAGCTGCTGAATTTAAAAAAAAAAAAAATTGATAGTAAGATTTGAACTTTAAATTTATTATATAGAAGTCTAGTAACCTAAATACTATACTAAATCATCAGACCTTAAGTAAAAGTTTTATAATTAATAATAATCAATAATAATTATAGTAAAAAAAAATTCTTTTTAACAATTACTAAAAATAATAAATTTGAAGAAAAAAAAATAAAATAAAACTAAAGATCTGGTAATCTTAATATAGTAGTTAGATTATCAAACTATTATACAAAAGATCTAGAGTTCAAATTCTACTATTGACTAATTTAAATAATTATTCAAACCTTTGTACTTAATTTATAGTAAACTTTGTTCATTTCTAGAGGTTATAACTCTATAAATTATATTACACTAATATCAATTAAACATTGAAAGTATGATACAATATTCAAGTTATATTATATAAATAAATCTTGATAGAATCTATAGGTAGTAGATCTGCATAGTAGAAATTTCAAGTTTGGAGAAGTAGTACAAATTTTGATAGTTATGCTAGTTAATACATAATCTGATAAAAAACCTAAGCTACTTTTTAGCAACAATTTTTCAAACTCCTGGTGAAGTAATAAAAGATATAGATTAAGTAGATACAAATAAGTCTACTATATAATATAAGCTAATGCATTGTATTAGTAACAATACTAACTTGGCTTAATAGCTAACTAGATTAGAAAAATTTATTTCAAGAAACAACTAGCTAGAATCTTAGAAGACTAATTTGGTGAAGAGCTATTGTAGGAACTGAGTTCATATAAATATCAACAAGGATCTAATTCAGATAAATAGATGAAATAGGCATATAATCATACTAGTTAGAATCACTTCTAAGGTTAATCAAAACTATACATATTCACAATATATTAGACAATATATATCTCAAAAAGATCTAAGTCATGTAATAAATAGATCTATGAACAAGTTAGCTAGCTTAAGTAGTCAGATATAGTAGTAATATTAGTTCAATATAGGAAAAAGATTAATAATCAGAATATTTAAATAGGTAACTTATAAACAACAATACTTCATACAATCTTAACATAGATATTTATATTCAAAAATTATTACTTTAAAATTTCTCTATTTATAATTGTTTTTTCTAATTTTATTTTATTCTAATCATAGAGATCTCCTTCAACTTCTTTTATAGTTAATAGTAACTTAGATTTAAATTAGCTAGTAAATAGAAAATAGGTATATAATATTATATTAGATGACTAACTAGTATTAGTAACAATAATGTATTTTAGAAATACATATTAGCTCTACATATATATCATTATGATATACAAATATACTAATTCTTTTTCTATTTTGATATTATTAATAAACTAAAAAAAAAAAAAAAAAAAAATAGGTAACTCACAAGTAGGTTACAAGTATAGTAGTATAGTATAGAACTAACAGATAGTTGATTATCTGTATAGTAAACTACTTAAATTAAATAATGACTAAAGTTATATATGTAGCTTGTTGTATACTCATCATGTAATCATAAAACCTTAGAAAATTACTACTACAGTAACTCTGTGATAACAAATTAATAAAATCTAATTAGTTAAGAAAGTAGTCTTAATAAAAATAAAATAAAATAAAATAAGATAAAACTTATAAATAGCTATTTTATACTAAATATTTAAATATTAATAAAAAATTCTATTCTTTTTCTTAAGTATACTAAACATAATAATTAAAAAAAACAGAGTTTTTATTTTCATTATACCTATATCTTTTAACAAACTTATATTGCTAACTATATTAACAATACTTACAAACAATAGTACTATTAAATTAAAATAAAACTTTATTTTTACTACTATTAGAGAGCTGTCAAATATCAGCTGATATCATAGGGTAGGGGGGGGTATAAAAATATCTCAGGTTTAATTTTAGCTAGCATTAGTCCATAATTCCAGCCAACTATATAATTATTCTTTTAGCCAATTGACATTCGATATATATTACATGGTCATATCATAATTAATATAATTAGCTAGAAATCATGCAGATACATACGTATGAAATATATCGTTGGCTTAGATCTTTTATTTAAGTTGCAATTTAATTTTGATTTATTCGAAAATATACATTTGAAACATGAAGTGACAAGACTATAAAATATAATATAGTTTCTTTCATACTCTATCTTACTTTATTCAAGATCTTGTCATCAGAAACTTAAATTTTCAAAAACTGATTTTTTTTTTTTTTTGTAATATGCACAGTCTCTATTCTACTACTCATCGTCTGAAAGATAGCCACAATTGTTAGTTTCTGATGTAGTTGAAGTCAAACTCAAGTTAAAATCGTCAAGTAAGTTTGAAAGTGTAGTGTGTTTATATTTTTTTTGTTTTATATATTCAGATTTTTTATGAGTTGTGACTATCTTGAGTGTAGAGAAATATTTTCTACAGAAAGTGTAGCAGAGACGATGATGTATTTCAGGTAAAATAGATGGACAATAGGTGTCATAAGCTAGTAATTTTAATATATCAGCATACTATAAGATATGAACTGGATTAAGGTAATATCTATTCTGGCTTTTTGAAACTAGTAGAAGAAACTCATCATTTTCTGCAAGAAAAGCAGCAGATTCTTTATGTCTTTTAGGATGGCAACAAGTCAGATCATTGTATTTTTGAATATTGAGGCTATACTGACAAATTCGCGTATGCCTTTCTAGCTATTTCCAAAAAGTTATTGACTCTTCTTCATTGTCTTCTATTTGAAATAGCAGAAGGTTATCTTCAACATATTAGGTCATAACATTCTTATCGAAAATTAAGTCTTTGCTCCAAAGTGTACACAAGGTTTCTTCAGCATGATGAAAGTTTTTTTTGACAAGTTCTTGATTAATAATTTTACCCTGCCTATCTAAGTGAGAACCAAAGGTATCTATTAGTAAAGTTATACCTGCAAACTTTCTAGAGAGTGTGCACATAGCCTGTTCAACAGGGTTATAGACTGACTAGTCAGAAGTATGAGTTCTTACTATGAGATAGTCAAAATCAAGAAATTGAAACAATTTACAATATCTACAAATATTTTTCAGATGTCTAGGATTTTTGTCAGGCCTCTCATCAATGAGAAGAACCCAAATTGGTTTAACCTGATTATTATTTTTAAAAATATTAGTAAAAGATTCTTGGTTGGTAAGTTTAATTAGATCTGCTATATGTGTATTAGAACTTGTGCTGATGTTATATTAGAGACGAACAAAAATACCCAACTAGCCTTTGCGAAGTGTATCATTAGAATCTGAAAGGTCAATGACAAGGTATACAGAGGGAATAAGTTTTTGATGAGCTCCTATAAGAAAATCATGATTAGCAAGGGTGACAGTTTCATGAATAGTTTGCATTGTTTAAAAGGTTTTGCCAACAGCTGGGATTCCAAGTAGAACCTTCGCTTTGTCATTTTGTGAGATAACAACAGAATGATGAGGAAACATTACAGCGAATTATCTAACACCTTTAACTGAAGCAAGGCAATAGTGCTTATCAGTATGTTCTTTTTTTTCTGATCTAGAAACATTTGTAATAGCTACTAAAGCAGAATAGTAGTGTGCTCTTGCAGCAATACTTGAAGAGTTTCAGAGCAAAAAGTAATTATTAAGTATAGTCCTTGAAAGATATTTATTATATTTTATTTTTAGTACTGAACAAAGATAGCTAATCATTCTTACTTTAATAATTTCATGCTTTCGTTTACTATATGCCTTTCCAAACTCAATACAATTATGTATATGCTCATGAAAATCTGAATAATCAAAAAGAAGAAGTGGTCAACTAGAGCTATCATATACTACAACTTCCTGATTTTCATGAAGTCTTTTCAATTTTTTTGTATTTGAATTTGCTTGATAGGCTGCATTACATTTTAAAATACTAATTTTTTTTGTTTCTTCTTCAATTATCTATTTTACATCAAGAATTTGATGTAATATATCATTTTTGAGCTGAAGATTACTAGTTGCTTCATAGATTGCTTCCAATTCAACTAATTTTTTAGCATTTTCTTTTTTTATAGCAAGTGATTTTTTTTGTGCTGCTACATTTTTAGAGACTGTTTCATCTACAACAATCGTGATAGATGATATAGATATTGTTTCTTAGACTGATGATATTTGATTTGAATTACAAAATAGGTGAGAAACATAAGATTGTATAGGAATAGGTATAGTAAGATATTCTCTAATCTTGTCATCAATTTCAATTTTTTTTTTTTTTTAACAAGTTTCCACGCTTCCATAGCTTCTATACACAGGTTTTTTTTTGGATATGATGGATTTTCTACTTTGATCATACAATAGTATCCAAACACGTTTGTAAAATGATGATATTGCATTTCTAGATTTTTGTAGATAGAATTTTTATCATATTTTGATATGGCAAAAAATTGTTGTATTTCATATAAAGTGGTTGTGAATATCAATATTCGATATTAATGATTTAGGAAGGTATTTATTTTTATATCTTTATACTAGTTTGTTTCAAGTACTCACAATTTTTTTATTCTATGATACGCTTTTGTATATATGCATGATGAAAACAACTACTTTGACACAGGTTTGTAATCTATTTTTATTATTTATTTATTTTACTATTTACAAAATAAGGTAAATGATCTTTTGATTTATTTTTATTTAGTGACAAATATATATTTGATAAAATTAGATATTGTGATAAATTAAAATCTCATGACGCTATGATTATAATTGAATGATTTATTTAATATTGATTTATTACATAAATTGATCTATTTAGATCACTGCGTTAGAAGATTTGTCATAGTACTAACTTCATCAGATCATGTTTATAAATAGAAGCCTTTTTAGAAAATGTGATTGTAAATATTTTTAAGAGCGAAGCTACAAGTCATATTGCTAGTTAGTTGATCACATTTCATATTAATAATCTGATTATGTTAATATAATAGATGCGAATTGGGTTGTATGACAATAAAAAAAAATTATTTAGACATGACTTATATATTTAAAGATTAAGTGTTTACAAAATGAGCCTGAATGACGATTATTAGCAAATCAAATTCAGATAAATTTATTTTTATTATATATATCGATTATTTTTATTTATGTAACCTAAAGTGTTATTTAATTAGCTGTGTGAATATTTGACATGATAACATATCTCAGATAGGAGGGAAGGGGGCATCTCTATAATAAATCGATCTTAGCTAATATCTGACAGAGCCCTAACCTCCAAAAACAAACAGAATTTACTATAAGTTGAGTACAAAGATTTGGATAATTATTCAAATTTGTTGATAGTGAGATTTGAATTCCAGATCTCTTATATAGTAGTCTAATAATCTAACTACTACACTAAGATTATCAGATCTAATTTAGCTTTATTTTAAAAATTAATATATGATATTATATATATTAAATATTTTTATAACTTCTGATTAATAAAACAAAAGATCTAAAACAGATCTTAACAGTCTTAAACTAATATCTGAGTTTTTAGTAACAATATTAGATTTAGATCATACAACTATTACTTAAATTATAACACAGGCAAATTTGCCTATATCCACTTTTAATTTTTGTAATTTTTAAAATAAAACCTTAAATATTAACTTTAAATATATATTTTCTAAGTAAAATACATTTTTTAGTATTTATTTTAACAACTTTGTTAAGAAAGTTTTTTAAAATTATTATAAAAGTTTTAAGTAATAAATCTTTTTTATTTTTTATTTTTTTTTTAATAAAAGTAGCTTACTATACTGAGCAAATTTTATTAGTTTAATATATGAGATCGTCTGTTGACAATCTTCTACAGTTTATAATTACATGAAAAGTGTACAACTTGCTATATGTACAACTTTAGTTATTGTCTAATTTAAGTAGTCTGCTATACAGATAGATTACCTGTTTAGTTTTACACAAGCTACCATACCTGTAACCTACTTGTGAATTACCTATTTAAACACTCTGTTTACCTAACCTATACTAGAATCAACTAACATTACTGTAATATCTAACTGCTTAAGCCAACTAGCTCGTTGCAGATCCATTTACCTAACTCAGCTTAGGTCCTCTCAAAATGTATATTGCTCAACATATTGTGGCATACAGAGCTCTAGTTAATCTTATAAGTAATCCTACTAGAGTAGTTCATGCCTATTTTACAGATTTACCTAGCTTAGACCCTTGCAGATATTTATACAACTCTAGTTCCTACTGTAGCTCTCTACTAGTTTTCTGTATTCTATCTTCTCAGATATTTCTCAAGACAAATCCTCCTAATTCAGTTAGCTACTAAGCTAGGTTTGTATTAGCGATCCTCTCATAGAATAAATTTATGCGCACTTGACTCGATCAGTATCATTTAACGATAGTTTCTTTTCTGGATCAAGTATTAGCTGATGTGACTGTCAAAAGCTGTACTACTTTACTAACTCAGGATTTCTACTATGCAGGTCCCCTGCTCATAGATCTTATCAAGATTTATTCATATAACATTATACTCTCTGAATATTTTGTCACACTTTCAATATCTGAATAATATTAGTGCAATATGATTTATAGGGTTACAACTCCAGAAATGAATAGGGTTTACTGTAAGTTGAGTACAAAGGTCTGAGTAATTATTCAAATTTATTAATAGTAGGATTTGAACCTTAGACCTCTTGCATAGTAGTCTAGTAATCTAACTACTATACTAAAATTGCTAGACTAACAGAACATAGTTTTGTTCTTCAAGTTTTTACTATAATATTGTTATTAAAAGTAGAAAGCTAAAAGTATTTGCAAAGATAACTAAACTATATATAACTTCTGCAATATTGTAGTCAGATTTTTTTTTGGTCAGCTAATTTTTTTATAGGCTATAAAATTTTTATTATTAATTTTGTTCTACTTTGCAATTACTTGTATAACTATAGTTTTACTAATACTCAGAACTATAACAATCTGCTTACATAGTTTTATCTTTTAAAATTGATTCTGCTATTGTCAAGTATTTAAAAAGTATTGATAAGCACTAATGATTATTCTTTTTTTATTATTATACTAGTTGAATAAATTTATATTAGTATAATATTATGACCTATTAGTATATCAATATTTCTAATATGATACTGATTTCAAATAGATATTTAGCATAAATAGAATACTTTGTAACAAATCAGATTTAAAAAAATTGATAGAGCTATTAGTATACTAATAGAGCTATCAGTATGCTAATATTACTATTAGTTAAATATCAGTTTATCATGATATTTATTTAATAGCTATATCAGTATGCTGATAGTTCTATTAATTTTTTTAAATCTAATTTGTTACTGAAAGGTATTCTATTCAAGCCAAATATCTATTTAAAATTAGTTTTATATCAGAATATTTATATATTAATAGGTTACTAATATAAATTCATTTAATCAGTGTTAGTCAGTAGAAGATTTTCTTGTTTCAAGTTAGCTGTAAAAGTAAAAAATAATCAAATAAACATGAAAAATTAAAGTTTAAAACAATTATTACCTTTTATATAATTTAAAATTTTTATATAACTCAAGTAACTCTTTCTGCTGATTACTAAAACCTAATACAGAGCAACAACAAAAATTTAAAAACAATAACTCAGCAAGAAATATTATTATATAGTACAGGAAATAAAGATTATAACTAGT